CAAAATATTGTGGCGAAGTTGGAAAAAGTAGTATTTTGACTAATATTGTGGCTTACCTTTCGAAATGTAGCAGTCCAAGTAAAAATACGGCTTATATAATGTTCCACAGTGTACACCTATTTCACGAAGAGGTTGCCATTTTTTTCCATCGCAGCGTCGTCTAGCATCTGGGATGCTTCGCCGCCGTGTCGGCGTGTGGGAATATGCGGTGATGTATGCAGCGTATGCACTCAACACACAAAGTATTCCTGTTTTTTGTGGTACGCGGCCTAAAAAATAGCAACGCTTTGCAAGTGTAAAAGCGCTAGTAAGTAATCGCTAAGCTGACAGCTTCAAAACGGCTGAAACAGAGAGCAGTGACAACCCACGAGTCGTTCATCCAGTTATGCCAATGATAGACAGGAGATGAGTGGAACTTAAACACGTTCCCTAATCAGCACATATAAATGGGTAATTTGTTTGTAAGTGCTGTCAGAGCTGACCTTGTGAAGTTCGGGGGTGTGTACTAGCGTTAAATTTTCTCTCAACTCTCGAAGCAATGGTGAAATGTAAATTGAGATGAGCGAATATGTTTTCATTGTTTAACTGCACTTTTAAGTGCGGCGATAGTGTTTAAAACAATTCTGGGGTTTGCTGTGATTCTTCAAATTTAACGCTACTCTACAATCACTAGCCGATAGGCTGATTGGACTCAGAACGTCGCAATACAAGGTTTATGGAACGAAAAAAGCACGAACACAAATGCCTGTGTTATTCGTGCCGTCGTCGTAGTCGAAAGAGTGTATCTGATCGTTGCGCAAAATAACGAACGGATGTTCGAAGGATGACCTCGAACTTTCACTTAGAAGCAACACAAAGCGATGATCAAAATAAACATCTGGCACATCTGGAAGTACGGCACAGTTCGCTTCTGCGCGAGCAGCCACCACTGGCGATACCCCGAAAGTACGCCCGCTTTTTGGTAACACTGTTTGTTTTTTAGATGCGGAAGCATCTTATACTCGCGCCTTGTAGTGCGCCGTCCGCGCCGTCCGCATTGCTTCTCGAATATTCGACAGCTGACGCGCGCGCATGCGCCGTCGCGCCGTCGCCCACCATCTGTGCCGCGCGCGCTTCTCCTTCGAGAACATTCGACAGCTGACAGCGCATGCGCCGTCGCGCCGTCGCCATCTGTGCCGTGCGCGCGCTTCTCCTTCGAGAACATTCGACAGCTGACAGCGCATGCGCCGTCGCGCTGTATATATACTCAAGGTCGGCGCTCACTCGCTCAGTTGCCGCTCGTCGGTTGGTTTGTACGGCGCGTCGACGTCCAAGGTCGCGGTGAAATGAATTCCAACGAATCCACAAACACAATGATCGACGTCCCTTCGACCAGCGCCGCCCTTTCGCATACGTGTGTACGTGTTCACTCATTTAACACCCCCTCCTACAACCACGTTAACCAATTTAGCCATCGACCCAAGTAAGTCGCAATTTAACACCCCATTTCACAACCGCGTTAACCAATTTAGCCATCGACCCAAGTAAGTCGCACTTTAACACCCCGTTAACCAATTATATGCTCCGCATCCTCCTCAGTGTTCCCCCGAGGGAAGCTGCGGGCAACTTTTTTTTCTTGTGCTTCCACTGGAAGTTTGATTTGATGTTATAGTAGTTAAAAAGAGCCCGAACTTCCCTTCACTCGCTGCCACGACCATGTTTACGAAAGGAGCGTGCTCCTCACGCACAAAGAATAAGAATTGTGGCCGTTGTTCGCGTTCGTCCAGGCGTATAGTTGTGCGTTCATTTCTTACGTCTTTCTTTCTGGTTGAGCAGCGTGCTTTGCGTGTAGAAATGCGACAGTTGTTTGTACGTGCTTGTCCTGTGTATGCTACTTAGGTGAGTGCTTTCTGCTTCCGGTGTGCGCTGCAAGTTTCGAGCTGCATGCTTGTCGTTCTTCACGTTCTTCGCGTGACTGCAGCATTCATTCATTCGCCATTGCGGTGAAACAATGCACGACGAATGCTCAACTACCTCTGCAAGCACACGTTTCACTTTCGTTTTAAACCGATTTATAAGAAGAGGGATCAACCACATAACTTTTTTTTACGAATCCTCACAACGAACGCACGTGTGCATGTCATATCGATTGTTAGACGAGTATTCACGACACTCAAGCTGTCGTGAAAAAAAGTGCGGTAGTCATAAAACTGTCACAGTTATCGCCACAATATTCAGAAGTCTAGAAGTGCAGCCAAAAAAAAAACGCTAGATGCACGCTCTTGATCCAAAGAACACTGATGACAAGCCAGATTTTCTGCCATGCAGATTAGAAAGTGCTCATTAAATATTCTTGAAAACACACGCGCTTAGATTTCGGTAGCCACTGGCATTGTAACTGCATGATGGGCTGTTGCATAGGAATTGGCGATGTTGATGTATACAACAGAAGAATTCTGGGCGAAACATTTTCTATATCAACCGTCAGCTTGGCCACCACTTCTCTTTGCGAAAGATGATCAAACGTACCAGCACCCCATCAGAATCACAAAGTGGTGTAACGAATAAACGGCCACAAGGACAGAAATCCCGTATACTTCCAATGGAGGCAGAAATGTTGTAGGCCCATGTGCTCAGATTTAGGTGCACGTTAAGAAACCCCAGGTGGTGGAAATTTCCGGAGTCCTCCACTACGGCGTCTCTCATAATAAATGTGGTGGTTTTGGGACGTTAAACTTCACAAATCAATCATCGAAAAATCCCGTATAATAAGATGTTTGGTGGAGTAGAAGGCCTATGACCTAAGCAAAGTCACTTCGAAGGAAGGTGCAACTCGCATGTCTCGGCTGCCAGCCTTTTGTGCTTCAGGTAGTTGTCACAGTCAGACACATCGCCGTGGTAGTCCTTGACCTTTTCTCGTCCGATATTTTGGTTTTCCGCAGCCCAACTACTTTAGTGCATAGCAGAACGCGGCTAGCCCACACACCAGCGCGGTGGCCGAATGACCGGTTGAGAGAGAGCGAGTGACGAAAATGCACCGGTTCGAGACTACGCTCCTCTTCTACGTGAAAACGGTCTATAGTGCGTCAATAAGGTATGCAGAAAGTTTCGAAACAGTAGATTTTTGTTTTAAGAAAGAAAAAAAAATTCTCTGTCTTAACAACCACGAGGCCTTAACGAAACTTGCTTTTGCCTCGCCTTCGCTGCATAGCACGTCAGTGCGAGGCTCTAACGGGGGTATTTCGACAACGAATAATGCATGTAATAGAACTGCTTCTCGCTTGTTTCAGTAATATGCTGTATAGAACGCCAAAAAGGGCAATAGTGCTTATTTTCAGGAACGCCATCTCCCCCATTTGACCAGCAATGGGCAGGTCATATTGAACATCTGCTTACTCCCAAGGGGCAGAATCAAAATGTAGTCGATCATACCCACATTTACATGCACGATTTTTTCAGCATTATCGGAGATAGCCGACCGGGCACACATAATATAAAAAATTCACACACACACACCACACATACACACACACATATATATATATTATATATATATATATATATATATATATATATATATTATATATATATATATATATATACAAGGGAAAGAAGTGTATACCTAAGGGCTCGTTTTTCCGTGTTTTGACATAATATTAATGAGATCTAACAGAGTGTAATGCCAAGGAATGTACAGGGGAAGTTATTAGAACCAATGGAATGTAAATAAAAAGAAAGAAAAGTGGATGAAAAAACAACCAGCCGTGAGCAGGAATCGAACCTATGATCTTCGAATAACGTGAACGCGTTATTCGAAGGTCGTAGGTTCGATTCCTGCTCACGGCTGGTTATTTTTTCATCCACTTTTCTTTCTTATTTGCAGTCCATTGGTTTTAATAACTTCCACTGTACGTACATTCCTTGGCATTACTGTCTGTTAGATCTCATTAATATTGTGTCAAAACACGAAAAACGAGCCCCCTTAGGTATACACTTCTTTCCTTTACATACATATATATATATATATATATATATATGTATATATATATATATTATATATATATATATATATATGTATATATACGCAGTGTATGGTTGGCGCGTGATTTACACGACTCGCGGAGCAGCGGCTTTGGGGAGATATCGCTAGTATGTGTATTGTAGAGTTCTGTATCGCCGGCGGTGACCTTCAATATTAAAGAAACAAGAACAGGCCAAAACGGGCATGATTATTACTGTCGGTGCGCGCATCGAAAGTTGTTATAACCACCCTTGTTTTCGGTTGTCTTGATGCTCAAAAAAAAAAACAAGAAAGAAAGGTTCCGCGGCACTCTGGAAATCCCGTTGGGGTTCTCCCAGACCAGAAAGCTTGAAAACTCCTGCTTCACATAATCCTGCTGTACCAATGTATACCGTAAACGTTGATGTGTATACGATATTATCAGCAATCGGCCGGCATGCGATAACTAAAGAATGAGATCCAGCCCAATGAATCCCTAACTTATGCCTGCACGTGGAGCTATATTATGCAAGAAATAATTCCACATATATTCTTTTTTTCTTGTATTACCCCAGGCAAACAGCGATTGATAACGGCGATAACGTATAAGAGTGTCCAGACACGCCTGTACGTTATCGTCTGATATACGTTCGTCCATACTAGTAAGTGGCAAAAGCAGTGAACATCAAAACTTTGGTCTTCACCGTACTTTTAGTGCGCTTTCGTACCACTAATGATTCGTTTCGGTCGGGTGTATTGTTTCGCGGCCGACTGATCACAAGTGGCTATAGGATGCCGCCTGTGCCACTGAAAAAGACTAGTGAAAGAGTATAGCGTGAACATAACTATGACATGGTCCCAGCGTCAATCCGTATCACAGTCCACACGACGCTTTCTGTACTGGGCACGAAATGGGAAGAGAAGGAAGAATGTGGAGGTAAGCAGTGCAAGTCATAATCTACAAAAGTGCCTATAGCCGGCAGGATACACAGTGAAGAAGCATGCACGCCGAAGAACTCACATCGCAATGCCCATGGGTCAATGTTGCGGATACCACGCACCATCTTGAAAAGACCGATGCTGCAGTCAACCGATAAATCCGCTTGTAGGACCTTCTGCGCGAGTCGAGGAGACGCATTGTCCATAGCATTGCCGACGAACTCCCTAAGCTTGGCCACGTAGCTGACGTTTGGTTGAAGGCCAGCTTCGAAATCAAAGTCCGTCTCGCCGTCACAGAGGCAGGACGTCGCCAAAGCGCACAGAAAGACAGTTCGCGCGAAGACGTGCGACGTCGGTGGCGAGCACTTCGCGCTTCTTCTAGATGTCATGATGGCGGATGGCGAAAGATTGACTGAAAGACACGTCAAGACCAGATCACGGTGTCCAAAGGTTACGCTGCTCGTTCATGGATGCTCAGTAATGGAAGTCTCTGCGCTCCAAAAATGCACTTATGATACGTATAACGTCAGTTACGGGCTCGTGTAAGAAATGACTGCCGGCCGCATCGCCAAGTCTCTCCGTAGCTGGTGGCACGAATAGGAGTAGTTCGCGTGTGGCAAAAAAACGCGCGGACTCTCCGGCCCGCACCTTTTTATAATGACACGTGGCGTCACGGCACCCGTACGGTGCCTCGATCTCCTCGAGGTGGCCTTTCCACGCGAAACACGGAAACACGCGCCAAGCAGATCGACTTTCTCCTTCGTATCTTTCTCACTCTTCTATTCGTGCGCCGGCGACCTTCTGAAGGCGGCACCGCTTTGGCTCGTTCCTCTAGTAGTGCGCCAAGCCTTGAACCCACTTCCTTTTCTTGACTTGTATATACCACAAGATCGCTCGCGCTCGCCGCCTTGTTAACGGGTTCACACTAAAGCGGTGAACCTGCCGACCACGTGGCCGCTCAAATGCCCTAACGAGTGATGGCGAGGGGTCGAACACAGTCTGGGAATGACGCGCTCTCGTAATACTTGTAGTTTATTGCTCCTTCCCATTCAGCGCGGTGACGCCCATTGCACGGCATCAGACGCTCGCTGTTCCAATAAAATTTCAGTTGAAAGTAGTGCTTGTCCTGTGTCCTTCGCTCGTCTTACGTACAAACGTGAGCGCTTGCGTGCAGACCACGGGATCGCGTGGCCGAAGGCACCGACGCGCCATCTAGCGACGAGACGCCTGTTGCGGCGAGCACGCGCGTCCCGTCGTATCAGTTGGCCTCTCATGTCATTCTCTCCGACGAGCTAGTAGCCAAAATGACACCTGGGTGACGCTGTCTTTGCTCGATCAAATTGGCGCAGTCTTTTTTTTTTCGCTTTTTCTTTTTCTTACGTAGCGGCTGCGACGGCGCCGGTTCCACCGCCGGGATAGCGAAGTTATTGATGCCGGTTTATTCGTAACTAAGCGTAGTCAGCCTGGCAAAACTTGAAGCCAAGCACACAAAACTATATTTTCTCAACTCAGCTTGCTTTTGTCACGTTAGGCCAAGTTGAACTTAAATTGGCCTAGTTAAGTGGATGTAAGTGTTGCCCAAGTTAATCTAGCCTAGTTGAGTGCCGTATGCCCTAATGCTTTCGGGCGTAAGTAAGTTTAATTCTAAATCCAGTCCAGCTTGCTGTATTTACGTTAAGCATAGTAAAGCTTCGATGAGCCCATATGAACCGAGAAGATTACTTGTGCAGCCAAATTCAGTTAGGCATCATTGATGATGCTATCCTTTTATTTAGACGAGTAAAATTAGCCCAACTAAGGCTAACCTTACCACGCCTATTTAATCCAAGTCGACTTCCCCATCAGCCTAGAGGCGCCAAACCCCGGAAGATACTAAATACTCATCACTGACGATATACCAATTAAGCTTATTTATGTCTAATTAGTGGTAGTTGAGATGCGTACTAGTTATTGCTGATGAATGTGTCTGATATCCGATCACACACCAAACTAAGTTGATTTCCCTGGCATAGTTAAGCTAATTATGCATAACTGAACCAAGACGACCGTGTCAAAGTAAGCATAGAAAAAATGAGACTAAATGTGGTTGATTATGACATCACCAAACTTGTCTGATTATAATTAGGTTTATATAAACAAGTTTTAATGAAACGCAATCAAATTATTTGCAATCGAATATCTATGACCTCAGAGATTCCATGCTGAGGAAGACCTTTAACTTTATTTTCCTCAAAGACCTCGCAGGGTGCTATATATATAAAAGGTATTAAATACGAATCACCCAGTCTAGTCTCAATAACCTAAATTAAAGCTAATTAGCCTTAAAACTAATTTTCATAACGTATTCATACTTATGTCGCTTGTTTCACCGTAACTGGGCTCATTTAGGTTCAACTTGGCCTAACGCAACAAAGGCAAGGTGAGGTGAGAAAACCTAATTTTGCGTGCTTGGCTTCATCAGGTTTTGCAACGCTGGCTGCGCTTAATTATGCTAATAAACCGATATAAATAACGACGCACGCCTGGTACTCGAACCGTTGCCGTCACAGCCACTACAAAAAACGGCTGCAAAGGCGAAGCAATGAACGCGATGGCAACATATCGGAAGGTCACGCGTTGAATGGGAAGCAGATCGAAACGTGCCCCGCGTTTCTCACGCAGAAATGACGCACGAAACATACTCACAAGTAAGAATGCGCGCTTATTCTGAACGTCATCATAATAAGCGTCGCAGTCGTTACTTCGCTGTGTCTAAAAAGCGCACGCTTTTCGCAAGCGGAGACTGCAATGATTACAGGGACCTTTGTGCGCCCGGTAACCACAGCAGAATTGTTACAAGCAAAGCCCGATACCAGCCAAGACCTACGATTCTCCCCTCGTCCCCACAGCGAGATAAGGGCGTGTGATTATAGAGTTAAGGGTGCGCGAGGAAGCGTCGCGCCCCTTTTTTAAGCGTTGCAAAGCACGCATGGAAGATTAGAGCGCGCGTATCCGTGTGATGTGGCGACGCACGCTCAATGCACCATCTTGCTGGTAATGCTGAAAACACCATTCCCCCAAATGCCCGTCAGCAGCGGTGTGTGGCAGATATAAGTAGCTTGCCGTTTGGACGGTGAAGGACGTGCGCCTCAGTGGCTTAGTCAAGACGAAGAGGTCTTACGTTTGATTCCGCGCGCCGAAGTCTTTTTTGTATATGTATATATATATATATATATATATATATATATATATATATATATATATATGGTACATGACATCAATGCCTACTCCCACATCTACGCCCACGCCGACGCCGGCTGCGAAATCCAGCCGAGAGTGTCCATATAATTGCAATCGCAATAAAAACGGTACAAAGTTGATGGAGCAAATACAGCGACATCCAGTTGTTTTGGCTACGAGCGTGTCGGAGAGAGCCACACGAGAGGCCAACTGATACGACGGGATGCTCAAGCGCACCACAGCACGCGTCTCGTCTCTATAGATAGCGCGTCGATGCATTCGGTCACGTGATCCCGTGGTCTGCACATTTTTGCTCACGCCTGTATATACCTTTAGCGCTTACATAAGTTGTGGTTCACAGTTCAGTTGAGCGTTCTCTCGCTTTTTGTTAACGCGATAGCGTTGAAGATCTCGTTTCGCAGAAATTCCAGCGTTAGTTTTGGCGCCGGCATGGTTGGTTGTGAACAAAAAATTATCATCTGATGAGTCTCCAGAAAATTGAGAATGATAGAAATAAAGTAATACAAAAAACCTGCGTCAGAGTGGGAACTGAATCAGGGTCGTTTAGGTCTGAGTGAGGATAGAATGTGTGGTAGAATCATTTTATGTTCAAATGAAGGGTGGTAGAAAGATAATTTGGGATTTTTTTTTGTTCTTTGCGCGTTACGCTTTCCTTATGATCTTACACATTTTTCTATCTCGAACAGTTTTCGTGGAAAAAAAAAGAGAGCCGAGCGTAACGCGCCGAAATTCCCGGTGGTATGGTGCCACCATGATGAGGTACCACTATAGCGCCTGAAGTAGGTACCATGGTGGTAATGTCTAGGCAAGAAAAGCGACATGCATGACACACAGTGCACCGCAACGCCACGAATAACCGCCTCCCAAAACACGGTGGACACATTCTTGGATGCAAACGGGGTATTGTTCTACTGAATTTTAAAGAAAATACATGTTAATATTTTTAAATAATATAATAATGAATTATCTGTTTATACTGCGTATTTTCACTAATGAAATAGTAGTGAACTAGCTGTTTTTCTAGTTTTATTTATTAACTGTTTTCACTTCATCTGGTGTGGAATACTTTAGTTCGTGTATGTGGCAATAAAAAATTAATTGTGGGTTGTCTGCGAAATTAACGTAAGCGCTGTTTATATTTTACATCACCTGTTACGTGATCAACCTAATTGAATGGCTATCTTCAGTTGTTCGTGTGCCCACGAAACATATTGGAGGTCAAACCCAAAGAACCAATCGGAGACAAGTTATCCTCTGGCTTAATTTTGCAAATAAATAAATAAATAAATAAAGAAAGAAAGAAAAGAAGGAAAGAAAGAAAGGAAGAAAGAAAGAAAGGAAGAAAGAAAGAAAGAAAGAAAGAGAGAACGAAAGAAAGAAAGAAAGAAAGAAAGAAAGAAAGAAAGAAAGAGAGAAAGAAAGAAAGAAAGAAACTTCACAATCTTTGGGACTAAAAGTTGCTCTGAGCAGTTTGAGTGCCTGAAGAGATGGGCCTCTTCCAAGACCCACAGCGACGCGGTGACTCCTCACTACGGTTCATCTGAAGCCCAGCCTCATGCTGTGTTCACGCACGCTGTTTCGAGGCAGCGCGTGCTGCGAAAACTCGGAGGTCACCGACAACCTTTTTGTCCTGGTCCAGCTTAGCTCCGGTTACTCTCGAAAGCGGGTGGGATGGCGACACGTGAGAGCGTGGCCTATGTCGCGATGATCGGACGACCAGTCGGCGATTAGGTGCGTATTGTCGCAGTGGCATGCCTTCGACTGCTCCCGCGCAAATGAGCTTGAAAATGGAACCACGGGCGGTCAGCGAGTAGTTCCTCTTACAGCTCACAGGAGACAAACGAATTATTGCTCCGTCGTCAAGAAGTGGACGAGTTACAGGAAAGTCGTCTTATGGCCGCAATACCTAGTACGTAAAGCTCTGTCTAGATAATTGCGCACCACGGAACTTGCCCGGGACTCGCTCTCGGGATTTCGTGCCGATTGGTGGTGCTGCATGGACAGATGCATGGACGGTTGATTTGTGGGGTTTAACGTCCCAAAACCACCATTTGATTATGAGAGACGCCGTAGTGGAGGGCTCCGGAAATTTTGACCACCTGGGGTTCTTTAACGTGCACCCAAATCTGAGTACACGGGCCTACAACATTTCCGCCTCCATCGGAAATGCGGCCACCGCAGCCGGGAATCGAACCCGCGACCTGCGGGTCAGCAGCCGAGTACCTTAGCCACTAGACCACCGCGGCGGGGCAGATGCATGGACGGACGCATGGATGGCTGCACGGACGGATGGACGCATGGATGGACGCAAGAGCGGATGCATGGACGAAAGCAGAGACGGACGCACAGATGAACGTGCGGACGCACGAACAGACGCACGCGCGGACGGGCGGATGGACGCACGGGCGGCCACCCCGGACGCACGCATGGATGGACGGAAGCAAGAACGAATGGACGGAGGGATGCTTCGCCCCACTATTCATCATTCACTCCGTGGATATGCTGCCATTTTTTTGTAACGTTGTTGTCCGTACT